ACTAACTTTGAAACAGAACTTACATACATTGATTGCAACTGAAAATCAGGCAAAACTATATGCTTGTAAAACTGAATTTGACTGCTATCTTCAAGATGATTCAACAAATTTACACACCAAATCAATTCTAGAGTTATGAAAAATTGTTGAGAGTATATATTCAACTGTTGCACTGATGATGTATGATATTCTAACAATTCCATTGACAGAGGTGAGAATGGAGTGAAAGTTCAACTCAAGTTAAGATATTTATCACTATTGTCAGGGACAATTATAAGGAGAAACAATCAAGAAACTCATAATTGTAAAACATGGAATTATCAGACAGTTTAATACCTCTGATCACAGTATATCAGAGAAGTGTAGTTTTCATGAGAAAGTGAAGAATAAACTTGCACAAGAATGTATTTAGTTGTTTCATAAGTGTTATTAATAATTGTTACTAAATTCTGATTATATAAGCAATCACTGAATGAACTGAATGAGACTGATTTTGATCTTCAGTCTCAGTCTCATTCTGATTTTGAAAGAATGATCATCTTTCACAGTTTATTCTGGAAAATTACTCCCATTTCACTGTTCTTGAATTAAATCTGGTCATTTTTCACGCCATTTCTCTCAGAAATGGTCCATTTTCAGATTTTTTTGAGGCTTGGTCCTGGTGGGACTCACGCCAAGAAATGTATGGGACCAGACCAAATGGGACCAAATGTGAAATTCATGGTCCCGCCGGCCAGTCTAGTAAAGTTAACTATTATACATTCATCAATTTCAGATATGCAAAATCAGAAAATTCCAGCCCAGAATACAAAAACTGTTTACAAATTGCAGTGTTTTAACATCTTTTGATACTTTGAAATCATTTGACAATATCATGACAAAAGAAAAGAGAAAAAGAACACAGTCTCAAAGATAGACACATTAAATAAATAGATAGAAAGAAATTGAAAGAAAAAGATAAAGAAAAAGATAAAGTAAAGAGAGACTATAACAAAACAAATTATTAAAAGAGAGTGTATAGCTGTTTTAACAGACTATATCTGATTTATTTCCTCCTCTTCATACTCAGATAATTCTGAATTTAGTCATTTTCTTGTAGCTGCTTGAGTTTCTGATAGAAAGTCTATTAAGTATTTAATTCCTGTCTCAGTTGAGAATAAGAATCTCATATTTAATTGATTTAGATCATACTTCTCTTTCAATCTGACTCTGAGACTATTGTATAATGCACAGTGCATTACAATATGCTCAGGATTCTCATTTGTATTGCAGAATGAGCATTCTATTGAGTCAAATCTATCATCAAATCTTTGTATATAAGATTTGAAATAGCCATGTCCTAGTTTCAGCTGTATTATAGATGAGAATATTTTCTTTTTACATTTAATTGAACAAGATTTCCACTTGGGTTTTGTTTCAAATCTTGAATAATGTATACTCTTCTTTTGTTTCTGCCAGCTTTCATTCCACTTGTCTAAACAAGATTCTTTTATTTTTCTCTTTATAAAAGACCAGGACACAATTTTTTGAATAGATCTGCTTAATTCTGCACCCTTTTTTACAGCTGAATCAGCCAATTCATTACCATGAATATTCATGTGAGCAGGAACCCAGTGTAGATGAATTATCAGCTTTGATATTCTTCTCTTTTGAATTTTCAAAACAGAGTTTAAGATCAGTTCAAGATTCATTTGACCATTATGAATCTGACTATTTCTAAGTCTTTTTAAAGCAGCTTGACTATCAGAGAATATCCATGCCTCTTTCAAACAATTTCCTCTTTTATGAGATTTTATTTCAATGAGTTTGAAAGCTTTCACTATTGCAAATAGTTCAGCATCAAAGACTTCACATTCAGAGCCTAGATTCCAGAAATCTGAGATAAAATTAATATTATCTTCAGTATAAGCAATGCCTGCGCCTAATCTATTCAAGTTCTCATTTTTTGAGCCATCTGAATAAACCAGAATAGAGTCTTTTATATTGATTGTAGAAATTCTCTTCAAATGCTGTTCATATTCTTTCTCTTTTGATAGTTCACTTATTTGTAAGTCTATAAGAGATTCAAGCTTTTCTCTCCAGGGAGATAACTTCTCATGATCAACTTTTTCAACATTTAAAGAAGAAAATTGATTTTTAATCAGAGAGCATAGTCTGTACAGTTGAGAAGGCATTTTCTTTGAAGAATTATTTTCATTCCAATCAAGAAATCTATTCCAATCCAGTTCATTTCCAGAGTTAATTGATGGAAATGAAGAAGAGACTCTTTCTCTGATTATATGATTTGAGCTCATCTTTACAACTCTCAGAGCATAGTTCATACAGGCCTTTTCAAATCTAATAGCAGGAGGAGGAATTGAAGCTTCAATTTCCATTGCTTTAATAGGAGATGATTTGAATGCTCCCAGAATTCTTCTCAAGGCTCTGTTTTGCAGACTTTGAAAGAGTTCAGTGAAATTCCCTTGATTATGCCACCAAACTTGAACTCCATAATCAGCTACTGATGTGATACAGGCTATATATAACTGTCTCATAGCCTGAAAGGATAGACCTCTCTCTGTATTTGATAGTCTGATTATGTTGTTCAATAGTCTTTCTGCCTTGACAGTTCTTTGTTGAATGTGATATTTAAAATTCAACTTGGAGTTTAACCATACTCCTAATCATTTGACATTTACACTGGGTTTAATCTCTCTATTTAAAAGAGTTAGAGATAGTTCTTTCTCATTGAGTCTAGGAAAGAAATGAATTAACTCAGTTTTATCCATATCAAATTGAATTTGATTGATATCTGCTCTAACAAAGATTTCCTTTGCAGCTTCTTCAATTACTTTCAAATTCTCTTTGATAGTTTTTGAGCTGTAGACTAGACCAATATCATCCACATAACTCGGAGATCGCACTATTCTCATATTTCTATTTTTGAATAGATATGCAGTATATATTGCAAATAAAATGGGTGAGATTGGAGATCCCTGTGGTACTCCTATTTTTATCTCAGTCTTGTCTTGTTTCATTCCATCAAAGAAGAGTTGTATAATTCTTTTAGACATAAAACAGTTAACCCATTTTATTAGAGAAAGTGGCAGTTTTAATATCTTCAATGTCTGAATTAACTTTGACTTTGAAACATGATCAAATGCTCCCTTTATATCAATAAAAACTGCAGTTGAGACCAGACCCTCATGCTTTGCTATTTGAATATCATGAACAACTGAGAGAACAGTGTCAATTGCAGAACACTGTTTTCTATCTCTCATTTGTTCACTGAATAAAAGAGAATCATCTATAGAGCTTATAAAAGATAGTCGAGTAGCTATTATCTTTTCTAAAACCTTTCCTAAACAGTTCAATAGAGATATTACTCTATATGACTTAGGAATTGAAGTTTTTCTATTAGGTTTTGCAAGAATCACTCCAGTGGCTTCTCTCCAGCATTCAGGATGATATCCATTTTTCAAGAGATTGAAAAAGAGCTCAAAATATTCATTCTTTAAGTAGAAATATGTATTTTGAATAATCAAGTGATTAATTGAATCAGGACCTGCAGCAGTTTTAAAGTTCTATAAAAGATACTTAAGAATATTTTTTACTAAGATTAATTTATTTATAAATTTAGAGAATTTCTCTATTATAGATGTAGAGAATAATATTCTGTAAATAATTAATAAGTTCTCTGAGACTTCTTTTATAGAAGTTATTCATAATTTAAATAACTACTTCTAAGTGTCTGTAGTAGAGTTCATAGAGATTGAAGTATATAAGTTTCTAGTTTTTTCAGTTATAATAGATAATTACTGACTGACAGAGCTTGAAATATAAGAATAAATACTCACAGACAATTATTTAAATATTTACAGCTTGATATGATATATACTGATAGCTACTAGAAGTATTCACAGTAGAAAGATAAATGTAGAGATTAAATATATAATAAATAGTATTTAAGCTGAGTTATAAATAGTATTTGCAAACTCCAGTCTATATAGTTGTGTGTAGCCAAGGACTGCTAACACTATTGATTACATGAGGGATAGAAATAGAGGTAAGGGATCCGCGAGGAGCGGGATTTCTTACACATATAATCATTCTTAAGAAGATGTACAATCTTGATGATGAAATCACAGAGTTGAGATAACATATTGATGATAAAGGTAAGAAAGACGTGTATTTGAATGATATTTGATTGAAAAAGACGCGTATTGAATGATATGGAATGATTCTAGAGAAATGCAGATATTTTGATTTTTTGATGGTGATATTGTGGCGGACATATTACTTGCGAAAACAGAATTTTCCCAGGCCCCCCTGAAAATTAGTAGCAAAACATCATCAAAAAATCAAAATATCTGCATTTCTCTAGAATCATTCAATATCATTCAATACACGTCTTTTTCAATCAAATATCATTCAAATACACGTCTTTCTTACCTTTATCATCAATATGCCACCTCAACTCTGTGATTTCACCACCAATGAGATTGTACACCTTCTTAAGGAGGTTATATGCCTGCTGAGATCATGCAAAGCATTGATTGTTATCTGACTACTGTATATTGAATTCAATGAAATCTTTGCTGTTTTGAAACTGTTAGAGAACTCTGTTCAACATGTGATGTAAAGTCAAAGATCATATCAGATATCTTATCAGAATTGAAGAGTCAGTTAGATGCTCAGTTTGATGAAGATTTTAAAGCTTTTTTACATCATACAGTTGAGAACTTCATGAGAGAAAAAGATATAAAAGAATATTTCAGATCTACTTATATAGAATAGTATTATAATAATTAGAAAGATTCAGATTACAATTCATTATAATATAAATTTAGAAGTGAAAGTAGTATGAGATCTGTTCTCATCACTATAAATAGTGAATAAAGATGATTTGAATTTCTGCAATTTTGTCTGTTATAATGGACTTTTTAACTCATCTCTTATAATTTGAAATATACTCTTGTCAATATTCATATGAAGCAACTGTTCCCTTGTCAATCAATTGAAGTATTCATCAAATTGAGGTATTGAACTGCTTTGAATTGGAGATGGAACAGCGGATTCGATGGAAGATTCAACAGCGGATTCAATGGAAGATTCAACAGTGGATTCAATGGAAGATTTCAACAGTGTATTCGATGGAAGATTCAATGGTGGATTCGATGGAAGATTCAACAGTGAATTCGATGGAAGATTTCAACAGTGTATTTGATGGAAGATTCAACGGTGGATTCGATGGAAGATTTCAACAGTGTATTCGATGGAAGATTCAACGGTGGATTCGATGGAAGATTTCAACAGTGTATTCGATGGAAGATTCAACGGTGGATTCGATGGAAGATTCAACAGTGGATTCGATGGAAGATTTCAACAGTGTATTTGATGGAAGATTCAACGGTGGATTCGATGGAAGATTTCAACAGTGTATTCGATGGAAGATTCAACGGTGGATTCGATGGAAGATTTCAACGGCGGATTCGATGGAAGATTTCAACAGTGTATTTGATGGAAGATTCAACGGCAGATTCGATGGAAGATTTCAACAGTGTATTCGATGGAAGATTCAACGGCGGATTTGATGGAAGATTCAACGGCGGATTCGATGGAAGATTTCAACGGCGGATTCGATGGAAGATTTCAACAGTGTATTTGATGGAAGATTCAACGGCAGATTCGATGGAAGATTTCAACAGTGTATTCGATGGAAGATTCAACGGCGGATTTGATGGAAGATTCAACGGCGGATTCGATGGAAGATTTCAACGGCGGATTCGATGGAAGATTTCAACAGTGTATTTGATGGAAGATTCAATGGCAGATTCGATGGAAGATTTCAACAGTGTATTTGATGGAAGATTCAACGGCGGATTTGATGGAAGATTCAACGGCAGATTCGATGGAAGATTTCAACAGTGTATTCGATGGAAGATTCAACAGTGGATTTGATGGAAGATTCAACAGCAGATCTGAATGTGGATGATAATGAGATTGTGAATTCAGTTCTTCTATTCCTTTCATCATATATTTCATCATCATCACATTGATTATCTCACTTGAGAATGTCATATTGAATGAAGTTGAAGCTGCCAGAGCTGAAGAAGAGAATATAATCACTGACATTTGAGAGATCTGTATAGAAGAATTGATTGTAGAAATTATAGATTCATTCTTCTGATTCTTCTTCTTCTTTCTACTTATTAATCATTTTGTCATCTCTCTTATTCTTTATCTCATTGATAATCACCCATTCATACAATCTGTATGAGATGTCAGACTCAGGTGTAGGGATTCGCGGATATCAAGGATCCTCAGACTGAGTCTCTATATCCTTCTCATCCATCTGCTCCTCTATCTCATCATTGACTGGATCCTCTCCATTATCCAGAACTTCTGGAACAGGTAGTTTGAGGAGACTGAGGTGCAGGATAGGAGTCTTTGTACAGGCTTGCAAAGCAGCAGGACAGCGGGTGTTGCGAGGCATATTGAAAAAAGGGTTGATTGATATATGTGGATTTGATGATAAAGGTAAGAAAGACGTGTATTTGGATGATATTTGATTGAAAAAGATGTGTATTGGATGATATTGAATGATTCTAGAGAAATGCGGATATTTTGATTTTTTGGTGGTGTTTTGCTACTAATTTTCAGGGGGGCCTGGGAAAATTCTGTTTTCGCAAGTAATATGTCCGCCACAATAAGCACAACTAAATAGTTACCTCTGACTCTCAAGTCTTTAACTTTCTATGGTGACGAAGGACTGGCCCGAAATAAAACTCTTGCCAGGCAATTGCAGGATGTCATAACAAGTATAGACTTTCCACACCTGGGACATATCACGCTTGAAATGACGTTCAAAGATATTACACCGACCCAGCCGACCCACCGCACGAGGAAGTGGGAACGAGCATGCAGAGAAAGGAGCATAATGTACGAGACGAAGCAAGCTTCTTCGTGTACCAAAGGAGGCATAGGGTGCCGATACTACCGCCAGGTAGAGGACAAGCGTCTGCAGATGTCTAGCAAGCTGGAAGCGGTCAGATATGCCGTGACCGAGTACCTATACCTGCTGGGAAAATCGACCTCTAAGGATGAGGAGTCTACTCATGGCAAACCTGAGTTCTCATCAGACAGTCTCGACACTTACGAGCTGCCGTGGGACGAGCTAACTACAGCTGTCCTATATCCTAGGGATGAGTCCGAGTTGGAATGGGACTTTGAGGACGGGTTCTCAGAAGAGGAGGATTTGGAGGAGTTTGACACAGATGATTCCGACTCACAGGAAACCAACTTGGAAGAAAGCATTTCTTGGGGGCCTGAGAGCGAAGCTGGAGAATATGACCGCAATCCTGACAGGATACAGTAGAGGTCCGCAATGCTTCTCATTTTAGGCCTAAGAGCTTTACTCTTCTTGTTACACGGTTCCTGATACGCTTTATTCATTTCTTAATCAGCGGACACATTCCATTACGGGCTTTTTGCTTGATGAATATTACGGATATGATGATACCCAAATAGGTTCTATCCACAATGGTTATCGCGACTTATGAGATTGAGATTGACACTATATTCAATTTTCATATACATCAAGCCTCTGCCCGGCTTTGCAGGTGGCGCAGATCTGGGGAAGGGTTCGCTGTGCCGCTGCTAGCAGCAGATAACAAACTATGAGTCACGAATCTCCTTGTAGCGATCATGGCATGCCAGATGTTGATACCTCTCTTTATTCTGACGAAAGTCCCGTAAGCGAATGTGGTCCCCTTGGCCGGCAAAAATAGCCATGACAAACCAAGGACTGATATTTACACGAGCTACCACCGCCTCAGCCGACGCCACTCGTAATTCTCCCATATGGACCAGTTTCCTCGATGAACACAAGGGCGCTCGACAGGGCCATGTGTCGTCTGGCAATAGGGGCTGGAATAACCAAGTGTACGATGAGGAGATACCGGAGACTCAGGCTCCCTGCTTTCAAGACAGCCATGGTAGGTGCTTTTCGAAGCTGCGAATCTATTTCTGCGATTCTAACCTAAACATATCAGATCAAGCGATCCTTAGGGATGCTAGTGACAATGACAGTAATTTCGCATGAGACCTTTGATGAGAGAACCACGCTGGTTATGTCTATCCTCACCACCTGCAGGGCATTCTCCTGAAGATGTGGAATCCGCCCTGCGAACCATATTCCCCCATACACACGCATCATCCCATTCTCTGATGAACATGTCTCAAAACAAGGCGAGTGGTGGCTAGGTAGTCGCGGATAAAAATTAATCTGGTATGCAAATCAAAATGAAAATCAAATGCCTCGGATGAATTTTAATAAACAGATGATTAAGCAAAGCTTCCTTGAATTGTCCTTGGCCTCATTGGCTTCTGGTAGGCCAGTTCCTCATGCGAATGTTCCATCCATCCCGGCTCCGAGTCCGTGAAGCTCCACAGGAATTGTCGCACTCCAAATTCCTGGCCTCCGTCCAGGAATCCCTCCAGGATACCGCTTTTGAGCTCTTGGATAATGAGGTATTTACCGAGGACCTGACTTCCACATGCTCAAATTCCAAACCTATTAAATTGGGATAACTCGATAAATACTAATTATTCTGTTGTCAGTAGGGAGCGGCTGCCGGCGCTGGGTTGATTCAAGACCCTGACTGCCTCCAACAAGCGACGGCCGACTAGGCCTTTACCCACGTGAAGGCAGCTGGTGATGTCGATGGTATGACGCATTCTCTTATCTACCGCGCGTTGGAGCGCAATACTGGAACCGTTGGGTTGGCCAGTGCGCTCTGCGAAAGCATGGAAGCCGTAAACCCTGAAGTTGCTGCGATTACCCAGCACCAAGACCCAGCTTCCGCTGGCGCAGCTGAAATTAACAAGCAAATCGCTTTGGACCTTACCGTCCAGATCGCCTCGATCGGCGGAGATCTACTCTTGGCTATCGAGAGCAGCACATTCGCCCCGGGTGATGTCAATGATGCCACTAGAACCGGAAATAATTACCTATTAGTGTTCCTCCCTTTTCAGTTATACCTACCTAAGCGTAAACTTTTAATGTTTACCCAACTGACAATCGACTAAAACAACTCTAGGCAACACCGAGGGAGACGAGGAGGGCTGCATCTTCACCGAGAATCTGCTTGTCCCGGACGTTACTGAAGAAGAGATCATCTCGAGCAAGCTGGTATCAATGCTGAGAATGTTACGGTGGCTGATGCGGTTGGTGCCAATGATGTCCCGGATCAAGCCACTGCCTCAACCGCGGCCACCGTGGTTGAGACCGAAACGGCAGCTACTGCAAGCACGGCTGAAACAGCTCCTGCGGCCGCGACGTCGGAAGCCGTCGCCGCAGCTTCCGGCGGCGTTGATTAAGTTGAAAATACCCAAACTCTAGCCGGCCAAATTCAAAACAGCCAAATTCAAGCCACGAAAACAATTTCAAACCAAGCGTTCTCGTCCGGCTCTTTCTCCCTCTCCCCCTCTCCCCCTCTTCCCGCCCTTTCTTCCCTTCCTCCTCCAGGTCCTCCCTGGCGCCTCTGTCTCTAAACCTTGACTTGGTCATTTGCGCCGGCGCTAACCCATTCATCATCTTCAACAACGACCTCTACTTGCCTTTTGACTCTGTCTTCTTCAGACACTCCGCAGTCATATCAATCGACGTCCTCTCGCTCTTCGTCTGCAACACTTTAGCTACGACTTGCTTTGCTAGTCGGGCCGTGATTGACGCCTGCTTCTTGGGTCGAGCTCTCGCTGCGGCGCAGGTGGGCCTGGCGGCTGCTGATATTCTCAACAACGCCTTTCTGACGCTGAGCTTGTAAGGAAGAATATTTTGTATAAGCGAATCAGGCAGGATCTTTGGGGATGGTTTGTAAGGCAGGATGCAGCACATGTGTCGGCGGACAATCGGGAAGTGTAGTAGATAAAAGTTACGGCCCAAAAATGAAAGGATAGCTTGAAACAACCTGCCGGCGAATGTAACGTCTACGAGTCGAAAATGTATTGGATTCCTCAATGAATTTTTTATTTCTTGGGGTTTTCCTTCACTATATACAGTTGGGTTCTATCGTGGATGCCGTGAAGAGGAGCCTGCTCTGATGTTTTGACATTGACATTCTAGACTGTGTCACAGATGGTTATATTTTGAATGACTCCAGTTTTGAATTTGGTATATGAAGTCTGCAATGGCCTTCCTTTTCTTGAATATATTGCCAATGGGCCCTGTTGAGTCGAACCCATTTCTCATTCCACTAGGTCAATTATACCATTTGGTACATAATTGAACCGCGCTCTCTACGGATACACCTGATACTGCCAAAAGGACAATGTAATAATATTCAAATTATGATTGTCAGGTTTTTCGGATTCGACGAATCGTAGCCAGCGAAGGTAGATCCTCGAGAATTTCATCGTTCGAATGGTGGGACTTGACATTAGGAGGAAATCGCCAGCTTCCACCGATAGTTATTCGCTGTGCTGGATACCCAACTATGGCCCCTCTTTTGTTTCCTTTAACGGCCTGCCTTTTTCTGATAGCCCATTTTGCGCCCCTTCCCCATCACACATTCCCAACGACACATCCCCGCTAGGGGAAGTGACCAATATCAGAATACCGGCTCGAAACACTGGCTCAAATAGCAGATACGGAAACCCATGGTTGTTGTTCTTGTCCCTATTAGGGCCTACTTCGTTAGGCGAAGTCGTCGTGGTTGACGCAGTGTTACCCTCTGATTTAACCCTCTTTTTGGAGTGGCCTTCGGAGAGCGATGTGCATCTGAGTTGTTCGCTGAGGCTCTCTGACGTGGGGCTGCTTTTGGGGTTATTATGCCTGCGATACTGGAGGAAGCTCATCCTCCGCCTCAGTTTGGATCGGCCCGTAGCTGACAGTTTGGCAGGGTCGGGAACCTTTGGGGGTTCTGAAGGGGAAGAATCCGATGGTGAGGGAGCCGAGGGAGCCATGTTCGACAGTAAGAGCTACTTATAAGAAGCCTCGAGCGAATTTTTAGAATGCTTTTAGCATAGATTCAATGGCGGCGGACAAAGTGAGTGGTTGTTTAAAGGCTAACTTATGATGCCGTGCTGAAACGTATTGTAGAAGAAGGCTAACATCGCTGGGGCAAAGATTCATGACATTAGTGGAAATATGGGAAGAGGAGAGAATTCCAGACATTCTATCCAGAGTAATGAGGTATATCTGGACGCGTGAATATAATTCAATGCATTCTGAGGCTTACCCACCAAGGAGTTCCCAGATATGTAGCCTCTCCCAAACGGTGGCGAACTTGTTGGCCCAATCAAAGGGGCAGTATAATAATCTCGATGAAAAGTCAGGGGCTCATGATTTCGGATAGATTTAGAGGTGATAGAGCCAAACGTGTAGGTAGAGCAGATAGGAGAAAAGCCTCTGTGGATGCACCATTACTGGTACCACCTTTAGTTCACTTCAAAGGAAAGAGCAACCGTAGTAAGACTCTAGCTCTTGCAGCCTTCATCGGCCAGCAGTGGTCTGCATCATGGGAAGGAAGGAACGATTGACTTTGCGATTGACGCACTTGGAAGTGGAATAGATTAATCCAAATCGGAACGACGGTTTGTAAAGGAAGTATTTGGGGTGTGTGGTATGAATCGCTGAATCTTAATGGATTAAAAGGGGTAATTTCGCTTTCGTGTCTCGCTCGTCTTCGCTGCACACGACAGGCCAAGCGATGAAGACTAGAGTGCGGTAATGAAAACACAAATTGCCAGAGTAGAAGCTAGAAAGGTTTTTAAACGTAATTGTAATTGTTGCTGGGATGACGGAAGGAGTCACGTAAAATGGGTACTGTAGATCAAATATTATCCTCTGTACCGTACCCCGCCGCCCCCCGGGGCTTAATATTCCTTTAGCGAAAAATCAAACTTTTCAAACGCCTTCTTAAAGGCCTCCGCGTCAGCTATTTCTTCTTTCTCTAATTGCACATCGTCTCTCCAATTCATCCTCTTCTCGAGTCCGAGGAGTTTTGCCATCACCCGCCGGCCAAACTGAAGATCGAACCTGAACTCCGGCGATAGCGGAAGGATCAAGTTAGTTTCCACGCCTGATTCACCATCTGTTCCCTCCTTCTCTTCACCATTCGATGCCTTTTTTGCTGGGTGCCAGATCATCACCCGAAAGTAATCACCCTTGCCCAACGTTGCGTTATCATTTTTTTCGAACTTGGGATAACTGAGGTTTTCGGCTTCCACTTTGAAAGCCGCCTCGACTAATCCACGAGATATCAGGTCTGATGGCATTGGAAGAAATTGCCAATGGATATGAATCCCATTAGCACGGCTGACCTCCCAGGTCACCGCACCTAGCTCCCCATTCGATCTATCATCCAACATTTCGTGCAGAGAAGCTCGGTATCTTTGCATTTCTTTAATGGTGGCTGATTGTGAATCCACCTCGGTGATTGCGTCGAAAGTCGGCGAGTGAGTCAGAGGGATTATTAATATGTGGCCTGGAAATCCCAGGGAGGGGAACGTGGTGGAAGTAGGTAATGGACCCTTTGCAGTTGTAAGGTAGCAATCCGACCCAATGGAGGTTATAAGGTGGGTGGCAATATTCGGATTTGATAAACAAAAAAAGCATTCTGAGGGGCCGGGTGGAGGCCTCCGAACTCGCTTGTTAGGCCTATGGTAGTCATCGCCCTGGGCGAAACGACTGAAGGTCTGCGGCTGGCTGGGAAGAGCATGGCGCTTTTTCGAGGTCAGGAGCGGCGACACCGTGGCGCCTGCGGGAATGGACGTTAATGGAGCGGCTTGCGGATCTAGAGTGAAGGCATACAGCCATTTCTGATTCGATGACTTGCTGAACGGGGCTAAGTTAATGAATCGGGTAATATGTTTAACATCGGGAGATTCCTCCGTGGGGAGATGGAAGAACGGTTCACGTTCATAAAAAAAGGGAGCGCCGGACGAAAAGTGATATCGAGGTTTTAATGTCGCACAAAGGTCTGCCACGCATTGCAATCCTTCTGGAGACTTGGCACCGTCACGCAATGAGACTTTCGACCCATCGAGAACCGACTTTGGCCATTGATTAGTTATTAGAATATCGGCGCTGTGAGCTCCGAATAACGATCTAGCGTCGCTTTCCGTGTATCTGGGCAGGTATTTATCGCTCACGCCCGATGCAGGAGTCGCAGGGCTTTCCAGATTGCCTCCCAGTGCAACAATTCTAATGCCTTCAGAGGTCTTGAGGGTTCCACGTCGGCCAAGGAAGTAAAGATTTGTGCAAACTTCATCATCAGATTCAATTTTTTCGATGATGCGGGCTGGGATAGGATGGTTTCCAACGGTGAAATATGTGGACAGTGGCACAGCAATAGTCCCACTCAGCAATGCTGTAATGTCTTTGAGCTCTTCCTCGCTTGAGCCATCACCAAAAAGATCCCCAGCGATAATAGCAAATGCAAAGTTTTGCTTCACTTGGAGCTTTGCTAACTTTGTGAACACTTCTTTGATTGAGCAGTTCACACTCCCCAGAACAATTCTGCATCCATATGTAAGTCCTAATATCCAATTGATTCAGATGTAAATGATATATTACTTACATTCTAGATGCCATAGCATTATGCTAGCGTATGAATATGTTGTGCGCAAGCTTCAGAGAAGTGCACGCAACTGGAGCTGTTGTTGTCTGGATCACTAGCCCTATCCCACGTGACCCACACACTTGTTGGTGATTACTACACCTACCCTAGTCACGTGCCACCCCAACCTGTGAGAGAGGTTGAACGTGGTTGGTTGTTGTTATCTAACTAGTAGCTAGTGAAAGCTAAATATATGTGTGTGGGTCACGTGGGTTAGGGCTTGTGTAGTAGCTCCAACACGCCAGTTAACCCACGCAGCCAAAAGCGCCCAAATCATTCAAATCTGCAATAATAATTAATTACACTAAGTAGAGTCTAGTTTTCTCATAAGGACTAGCTCCATACATGCAAATACACGCGAATATGCAAGAAAAAACACTCAAATCCATTCTTCCTGTATCTGTATTACCCCCCCAGTCATCTGAACACTGCGGGGTCTCATTTCTCATATTTTTGTCATTTTATTGTTATTGTTATCGTGGTTATCATATAGGCACACTCGGTGGCCTGGTTATCATGGGTTATCATGGTTATCATATAGGCACACTCGGTGGCCTGGTTATCGTGGGTTATCATGGTTATCATGGGGTATTGTGGTTGTCATATAGGCACACTCGGTGGCCTGGTTATCGTGGGTTATCATGGTTATCATATAGGCACACTCGGTGGCCTGGTTATCGTGGGTTATCATGGTTATCATGGGGTATTGTGGTTGTCATATAGGCACACTCGGTGGCCTGGTTATCGTGGGTTATCATGGTTATCATTTTAGTAGACATGCTCAACAGTGGTGTATGTAGGCGCTGAGCTTTCATTATTATTCTTTGTTCTATCCTTCCAATCAACAGGATGCTTTTCAGAGTGTGCGAACCAGCAGTAAGGCTCTTCATGGCCATCCTGCTTGCAGTGAGTACACTTCTTGTTGTTCTTCTTATTATCCTTATTCTTCTTGATGGTGTCTTTGGCATTCTTTGTGTCATCTCTGGCATTTTTGTCATTCAACAGCAGGCGGAGTAGTATATCTCTGCAGAGATCAAGGAAATCATCTTCTAGTGATGTGACATTATCATTCTTTGCTGCATAGTCCATGCGATCTCTGATAAAGGTTGACCACTTCTTGATAAGGCTGTTGAGAAGCTTGTTAAAGAATATGAAGTTGAGAATATTAGCATATTCAAGGCAGATATACTCAATGCAGATTGCAAGCAGATGTTCTATGAATAAGCAGTTGAAGTTATCATAGATGGCAGTTGCACTGATATCATTGAATTTCTTGAACAGACAGACTCTGTGAATTTTCATCTGTTCTGAAAAGAATGCTGCTATGATGTTTCATAGAGCAGCAGAACTCAGAGAATCTTGAGATATAGTAAAAAGAGATTTGACTTTAATAGAAACAGAAGATTATATAAAATTGTATAGTTAGAAGTTGTATTTCTCTCAGAATCATTTCATATTCTTAGAGACATTCTTCAAGAGTTTTATAGTTGCATTCAGAAGATCTTCTGTATGAGATTACTTAATAACAAGCAGAATCTCTTTCTTTCAAATGAGATAATCAGATGTTAATTTGAGAAGACCTGGTTTTTGAAGATATTTGATGCATTCACAGAATTCTTGAAGAACTCTGCTCAGTGCAGAAGTGTTGTCTTGATTTTAAAGATAAGCAGTAAGATTAGAGCTTAGATTATTATTATTATTAACAGTAGCTGTAGTAGTAGAATTGCTAGAAGCTCTTATCTAATGTAGTTCTTCATTCATCTGAGTAATATATCATCTCAAGGCAGCAGCTTCATCAGCCATATTATTATTATCTTGATTATTATTATTATATGATGATTTTCTCACAGTTATTGAGATTGAAAAGAATTCAGATGTAGTAGTTTGATTCTCTGAAGTTTCTTCACAATTGATTGATCTTATATTGACAGGCATTTGATATGAGGTATTTGAATGAAAGAAGCAGCTATTTGAACAGCTTATTGTATAATTATTACATAATTATAATGCTTCATAGAAGTGCAAGAGCTTCATAACCTGTGAGAGAGATTGAATGTGATTGATTATTATTATCTAACTAGTAGCTAGTGAAAGCTAAATATATGTGTGTAGGTCACGTGAGTTAGAGCTTGTATAGTAGCTTCAACACAATCTATTTATTCATTTAGTGTAACTCGCGTAGTTAGATTACAATATAATATAACAATGTTATTCTTTAAGAGATTATGAAGTTCTTATTAAGCTAATGAAAACTGCTGAAATAACATGCTAACTACATCTTCACATATTATTACATGTGTCTAGATGTAAGAATAAGTGCTCACAGGTGATTATTTGAGTGTTTGCAGCTTGGTGTGATATGTACTGTTAACTACTAGAAGTATTCACATTAGAAAGATAGAATGTAGAAGTTAAATATATAATAGTATTCAAGCTGAGTTATGAATAGTATTCACAAACTTCAGTCTATATAGTGATGTGTAGCCAAGGGCCGCTAGCCCTATTGATTATGTAAGAGATAGAAATAGAGATAAAGAATCTGTAAGAAGTAAGATTTCTTACATACTCTTCTCTCTCTAAGACTTCATTTGCAAAGCCTTTTACTGAGTAACTTCATAGAATCAGCTCAGTACTGCAGTGATACTCACTAAAAACTCTTCACATCTATAAAAATCTCAGTGAGGAAAAATTCCTTGTTACTGTGAAGAGAAAAGAGTCTGTCACTCAGTTTCTTATTCTGTGAGATTCTTTATAATCTACAGATTCTTCTCTGACTATTATACAGATTCATCTCACATCTTTTATATAGAAGAGTTTCAGTTAACTCTCAATTATTTCTATGAGATTCTTATATAATTATCACACAGATTCATCTCATAGATAAATCACTCTCTGTGAGATCACTCTTATTAAAGAGAAATATTCATGAGTTGATTTTTCACTTATTCTTATGAATCATTGTTCTTTAACACTGTAGAATTATGAGGAATTTTTCATTCTTTCATTAATTCTGTAGAATTGTAGAATCAAGATATTCACAGTCTGTAATCACTCTTTATAGTCACATAGAAAGATTCAGGCCTGCAATTCATAATTACTCTTGTTTACTAAAGTGATCTGACTGTTTCATGAGATCACTTACAGTGTAAGTAAATCTCTCTAGAGTAGTATAAATATCTCAGATCTGTCTGTAGAACTTCATCTTCTTTTCTCTTTTTTTATAACAGCTCTCATTCTTATAAACTGTAAATATTCTTATTCATCTATGAAGTGTTTTTACTCAGATAATAGAGAGAGAGTATTTCTGACAATGTCTGTATATTAATTCAAGAACTTTCTAAGAATAAAAATTTTCAATTTCAATATCTTTATAAATAATATCTGACTGTTGCTGAGCTTCTTGTGAGTGTCTCTACAACTTCTCTGATCACTTTTTATCAGCTGATGAAGCAGGGGCATCACTGCTCATGACTGTGTCTTCACTTCTCTCAGTCTCATCATTATATTCAATCTTCAGGTCAGTGACTCATCTCATTTCTTTCTCAGATCAGTTCCTGACTTCAAGCAGCACAGTTTCTCTCTTTACTGTAAGTCTTCTTATAAGTAATTTCTTACAGACTCTAGCTAACAGTTCTTGTAAAGCTCTCAGTGTTATCAGTGTCTTCTGCAGTTTCACAGGTCTATGATCACTCTCTCTCTGCTCACACAATCTCTGACCAGGCATATATGAATATATCTAGATTTTCTATCAATAATTCTCACACTGCAGTGCATTTCTGCAATCTCATTATCAATGAGAGATGAGTCTCTGAGTACCTGCAAAATCCAGGTAATTAAGACAATGTGAATGTCATGAATTTGTGATGAGAGTTAATCTGAACAGATGAGTCTTCTCTTCATATTTCAATTATTTCTGAGCTGAATACTTCAGCATAACTGAGAAAGTGAACTCAGCTTTGTGAGAAGTATCTGATCACATATGTAGATGATCAGCTCTCAAGACTCTGCTGCAACTGTATACATTCTGATATTCAGTTTCTCTGAAGTCTGTGCATTTCTGACAGTCTTTATATTAAATGCAATAATTATCTGTACTGCAGATATAATACTCTCTACTTCTTTAAAGAGAGAAATTGATAGTTATAAGAGAATTAAGTATCACAGATATTAAGAGTATGAATTTAAGTTTTCTTTATTTTTTCTTTATTAATCTTTAAATTATATTTACAGTTCTATTTATTTTCTTATTTTTAACTTTAATAAGAATATAATTTCTTCTTCTCTTATATACACTGCAGACTGTTCATCTCAGTAGAAACTCATCATCTTATAGACTAGAGTTTATAAATAACAGTGTTAATATCTTTATTATAATCAGATTCTTAGTGAAGACTATATCATTCTGACTTATCAGAATTCACAGTATAAAAGTTATATCTCAGCTTCTATAGATATCTTATCTGTCTGAATAATTCTTAAGTGAACTTATTTATCTTATCAGAATACTCTTATCACTGAACCTTGAATCAGAGCTTATAATCTCACTTCTCTGAGTTAATAATTTCTTTAATCTGATATTCTCTTTCACTCTCTAGTACTTCATGAACAGAGTGATAAGTCACAGAGTTCTCTTCTAAGAATTTCTTATATTTGCAGAGTAAAGAGACATGAAAAATATTATATATCTACAACTCAGATAACAGTTTCAATCTATAGAACTGTAAACTAACTTTCTTTATAATCTTATAAGACTTTATCTGCAAGAGATTCAGCTTCTTACTAGATCTCTATATAATAATATTTTCTAGACTCAGTCAGACTCTATTATCTTTCTTAAAACTCTTTATAATATACTTAGAGTTATAGTATCTCTTCTGATACTCTTGAGTCTTTCTCAAGAATTCACAGACTTTCTTCTGAATCTTCTGAATTTTCTCAGTCTATTCACAGATATTATTACACTCTATAGTGTACTCTCACAGATTTATCAAGATTATTCATGAATGAGTCTCAGTGAGTATCTTAAAGAGAGTTTTATCTGTGCTGACATACTTTGAGTTGTTATATATAAACTCTGTAAGTAGTAATCAATGCACTCAGTTATTCTGATTATAATTAACAAAGCACTGCAGATACTGTTTCAATATACTTATTAGATATTCTATCTGATTATCTGTCTGTTAGTGAAAAGCTGTGCTTAGATCTTATGAAATCTTCAGTATAGTTATCAGATTAGATTAGAACTCTTCTATAAAGATTAATTCTCTATCTGAGACAATGTTTACAGATAACTTATACAATCAGATCACATTACAGATAAAGATATAAGTCAAATTCTTTGACTTCAAGTTCTTGTGAGTGAGTATAAAGTGTGTTATCTTGATAAAGTAATTCACTATCATCAGCACACTGTCAAAGCAGGTATTATATATGTTCTTGCTTTCAGAGAGACTCACAAGAGTATTTATTTCTAGCTATTCTCAAGATTCTCATGAGATGAGTAGAGAAGTAAGTTCTTCATATAATCTGAATCACACTACTTATAAATTCTGATAAATAGTATAAGAATTCACTATCTTCTTCATAAGTTCTTACATCTTCAGTCAGAAGTATTTTCTTATAAGCAACTTATGAGTTCTAGTGTCTGCAAAATAACTTACTAGAGAAGAGTCATGATATCTTTTAATGAGTTCTATATATAGAAACTTATTCATAGATATATAAATTCAGCTCTCTCTTTATAAGAGATTATTTAAGTTTCTTCAATTCTTTATTTCTGCAGGATTGATTCCTGCTGTGAGCAGTTTTTGAATATACTGAGTATATTCATTCTTCAGTTACAGTTCAGACAATCTGAATAGAAGATCTTGTGAAAACTTATACTCTGTTTTCTCTTGCATCAGGTCTTTCACAGTACTTCTCAAAGTCTGTAAACTCTTCAGATTATAGATACTCTCTTCAAGAATTCTTGTGAAGATTCTCAGAGTGTTAACTCTCAGTGTTATAGAGAGTAGTTGTACAGACTTCTTTTCTCTCTCTTTTCTCTTCTCTTATAAGAAATTAAGAGACTCTTCAGTCAATCTCTTTACAACACTTAGACTGACCGTGTGACCGTGTCTGAAACCAGGACCAAACTTTACAGTTGTTACATTGCCTAAAAGCATTACTTCTGATCATGGTTTGTGTTCATCACATTGATTTCAAATCACATTATTTCAAATATTAAAGGTCCCAGATTCACTTTTCAAATAAAAATCTAGTCTCAGATAAAGAATATGTTTGAATTCTTAGTCACATTTTCATTCTGATCTCATTATTGAGAATGGCACTAAATGAGACTATGAAATCACTTCTCACTTATATAATATCATAACATAGTGCTCATTTGTTGAAAATTCAACAGAGAGCATTATCAAATATCATTACTTTTCTGAACACAGATCATAATTCATATAATTTTAATTATGAAAAAAACATAAAATATAAAAAAAAACAAAAAACAAAAAACAAAACAAACACAAGAAAAAATCACATTAAAAAAAAAAAAAGAAAAGGAAAAGAAAAAAACAAAAAATAAAAACAAAAAAAATCAAGATTGCAGAGCTGCAGCATCCTCAAAATACCCACTTCTCAGAGTCTTCACAATATTCATCACTAATCATGTATCTCTTACAGTGAGGATAACACGGCCGCAATGAATCATTGTCTTAACATCACCTAATAAATAATCAGTATATATCTGTATAAATGTGAATAATTAGAAAATATACACTCAAAAAGTGTGGCCAGGGTGAACTCTGCTACCACTTGAATGACATCAAGGGCAGAACACTGAAATCAATGATTTCTCTTATCAATTTCACAGACAAGGCATGTGAAGATGATCTTGGGAAATATAAAATCTCCTGACTTCTGATAAAAACAGATCTCACAGAGAGACTCTATTTTCATGATATCAGAGACTGAGTATTATTAAAAAGCATTACTTTCATGCAATGCACATGCACTTACTGCAGTGATTCACTCTCTGTGCATGTAGCTGAGAGTTGCAGCTTTCTCATGCTGCACAGCTCTCCCTGAGATGCTGCTGTCAGTTTGCAACTCAGACAGTCTTCCAGTCCAGCACACACTGTGTGTATACAGCCCTGTGTGCTGGGGCTGTGTTGGTCATTATGGCCTGGTGTGGTACTCGCTTTTCATGAGCCATGTTTCATTTGAGGGAGGAGGGGGGGAAGACACAACTGTTGTTTTATTGAGAAGAGAATGAATAATTAGTATTATTGAATTAATTTGATTCATCTGCATTTAAAATTTAATTAGTTTATACTCTTCAATTTGAGGATTTCTATGAGTGTTTTAATAGTTTTCATACCAGCTTGAACTTAGTGATGAATTGAAGAAGAAGAGAAAAGAGAGAAGAAAGAAATGAGAATAACTTATCTTTATAATATGAAAACAGAGAATCACTGCAATCATTCTTTCTAGTAATAAAGATCTGTTTTCTGCATGTATCCCTGATATAGATTATATGATAAATGCATACAAAGAATATCAATAGTGCATGCATTGAATGAAGATAATATTGCTATACAACACTGTAGCTGTTTCTGTACATCTCTGAAAACTGTTAATAGTTTCTTTGTCTCTTTATGTTTGATAAGTCAATAATATATTCTGATGCACTCTTTCTTTCATCATCATCATCATCACTATCATCATCATTATCATCATCATCATCATCATCATCATTATCATTATCATCATCATCATCATCATCATCATCATTATCATCATCATTATTATCATATCATTGCCTGCCTTCACCTCTCTCTCAACACTCATTAAAATCAATCATGTCATTCCTCTTCAAATATTCTGCGGTCCTGCGGATCACCAAGGCGCGTGAGCGCTGTCACAGATTGGAGAGAGAGAAGAAGAAGGCATTCAAGCACAGAGAGACAGATTGCAAGACATGTTATAATGCCTTGAAGAGGCTCTGTAAGAAAGTAGAATGATAATGATTTTAAGTAACACTTCTGATAGATTTAGACTGAACTAAGTATAGAAATAATACAGATAACATCACCTGTGAGAGATTGAAAAAGAAGACAGTGAAGAGCCTCATACAGCAGTGATAAGATCAGGAGAAGTCCTGAGAATGATTTGAGATCAAGATGAAGAGAGAGAGAGAGAAGAAGAGTGTTACTGTAAATAAACAGCAGTAGAAGAAGATTGAGAAGATATTAAAGCAGAAGATAAAGAAGTCAAAACTGATAAGTTTTTTATTGAGAGATAACAATTTTTGATAACACTTCTGTTCTCTAATTGATTAGCAGGAGCTGACAGAGAAGGAGGGGATTGAGGCCTTATTCAGGTCTCAAATGCACTTCATGATCCAGGACATTGAGGAGGCAGCCCTGCTCTCTGAGTATGCCAATCTGCTTATCACTGGGGTGAAACCTGAGACAGCAGACCAGAAAATACAGGATTTTGAGGTGCAGGTTGACCTGACTGAGGAGGAGCAGTGAAAACCCTTCTCTGAGGAGGCAGTGAAGAGAGATTTTGAGATAGTTATCATCTCAGATAAGAAGAAGAAGAAGAAGAAGAAGAAGAAGAAGAAGAAGAATAAGAAGTGAATTGTGAAGAATGATAAGAAGAATGAGAAAGAGAAGAAGTAGATTTTTTTCTTTTTATATTAGTTAGTTGTAAGTTTAAGTTTTTAATTATTAATAATTAAAATTGATTTTGAGTTTTTAAAAATTATTGTACAAGTTGTAATCAAGTCAGGAATGATATATATATATATATATATTTAACTATCATGATTCATAAATCACTATAATGTATAAGTATCAACATTTTTTCAACATTGATATTCACAATATTAATATATTTTTAATGATATCATCTGATAATGCAATTTGATAACACTCTCTTTCATAATATTAATATATTTCAAGAAATATGACAGAGATTAATCAAGATTGTTTGTTTACTTTTATACATCAATGATATTCAATCTGAGTTAGTACTAAAATTATAACTAAGCTAAGAAACAAGATTATTTTCTCTTATATTAATTCTTCTTACACACATCAGTGATCAGTTATTGAAAATAAATTGTCATCTTTCTCAAATTATTATCATGTCTTCTGAATCCACTTCTTTCACTTCTTTTACTTCTATTGAAGATTCACAAACTCTTCAAGAAATCACTGTGAATCACAAAGTCTATGTTGTTTACAATTCAATACAGAATGCTCTCTTTCAATTATAATGAATAATCACTTCATTCTTCACATCTGATTCCAGGCCATGAAATTTATGAAAAACTCAACACAAACATTGAGATGAACTATGAAATAATTATCAACAGGTTGCATTGCAGATTACTGAAGAGTCATCTCTTTACTGTAATCACTGCAACTTCATTCAGAAACATTCATCATAAACTAGTCATAGCTCTGAAGGAATTTCCTGACATCTGAAGTCATCAGAATGCAGACAACAAAAGGAAAATAATCAGAAAATTACTACTGGGCTGGTAAGTTGCTCTACCAGGTAATGATTTTTGATAATGCTAACTTTCTAATTTGAAGAAAATCATGTGAAAATGACCTCATATCAGTACTCTGATTCCACAACTCTCACCTGATAACTTCTGTGAACAATTACTTCACATGTGTATATCTCTGAATCTTTCTCTTCAATCAATTGAAAACCTCAAATTTCAAACACTTCTTCAAATGCTTAATTCAAATCTTCATATTCCACATTGATCCTGTCTTCAGTCCAATCTCAAGACACACTACAAAGTCAATATGCAACATCTAGAATCAGAGTTGAAGAATCATTGAAGAGTGTCTCTCACAGTGAATGCATGAACTAGTACAAACAATCTTGTATTTATGAGAGTTACATGTTATTACATTGATGAGAACTGGACTTATTGAGAGACATTAATTGAATTTAAATCATTGATCAGTAGTCATACTGGGGATTATATGACAGAGATATTAATGACTGTGATTAAAAATGACTATTGAGATATTAGTCCCAGTCTTCTTACAATTATAACTGACAATGCTGTGAATAACTACACTATGATAAAGAGCTTGGAGCAAAAATTGACTTTGCATTCCTGAAATGATAAACAAGGTCATATTCCCTACATTGCTCATGTGGTTCAACTTGTGATGCAAACACTGATAAAGAATCTTAACATCAAGATGAAGAATAATGAGATGGCTGATTCTTGAAATGAGAATGAGATAGAAGTGATTACTCAAGTAACTTTTACATTCACTTTGTAAAAGATAATATTTTTTGACAACACTTTTTGATATTGCTTTTTAGTAATGCTTTTTGATAACACTACTGTTAATTTTGAATAGATTGACTAATAATTTAAATATCATAGATTCAAAACATTGCTAATGTGATTTGTATCTCTTCTAAACAACAACAATGATTTCATGATATTCAATAAATAAACAAATCAGTCACATCACTGAATATGATACAGAATGTTAGAACACAGTGAAGTTCAATATATGAGATAACTGTTCAGACTCTTCAATTGTATCAGGTGATTGATCATTGAGTGCAACACTCTGATCAGGAAAAGATTCAGATATTGAAACTTTCTGATATGAAGTGAACTCAGTTGAAATATGTGATTGATTTACTGTTTCAGTTTTATAAGATAACAAAGACAGTCTCAATCACTTGTACACCAATGCTGCAGTCAGCCTGGTGAATGTATAACAGTTTATTTACTCATCTTGAGAAGCAGTTGAATCACTCAAAAAGAAATTCAGTCTGGGATAATGCTATAGTGCAGGCTATTGTTGCTGCAAGGGATAAACTGGCATATTATTACAGCAAAACAGAACAATCTTTTGCAGAGTACTATGCTGTAGCAGCTCTACTAGATTCCTCTCATTGAGTTAATATCTACACTTCTCAAGATTGAACAGAGGAGAAATGAGACTCATATATCAAATTAGCCTGAGACTACTACAATGCCAACTATCAGAGATTTGAATGAGCAGATGTTTGAGATGTGAAGACAGTGGAATACAATTCCCTAGTAAGTAACAATCTTTGATAACACTTCATATCATATAGAACTATAATACTAACTTTGAAACAGAACTTACATACATTGATTGCAATCAAAAATCAGGCAAAACTACATGCTTGTAAAACTGAATTTGACTGCTATCTTCAAGATGATTCAACAAATTTACACATCAAATCAATTCTAGAGTTATGAAAAATTGTTGAGAGTATATATTCAACTGTTGCACTGATGATGCATGATATTCTGACAATTCCATTGACAGAGGTAAGAATGAAGTGAAAGTTCAACTCAAGTTGAGATATTTATCACTATCACTGAGGACAATTACAAGAAGAAATAATCAAGAAACTCATGATTGTAAAACATGAAATTATCAGACAGTTTAATACCTCTGATCACAGTATATCAGAGAAGTGTAGTTTTCATGAGAAAGTGAAGAATAAACTTACACAAGAATGTATTTAGTTGTTTCATGAGTGTTACCAATAATCATTATCAAATTCTGATTATATAAGCAATCACTGAATGAACTGAATGAGACTGATTTTGATCTTCAGTCCCAGTCTCATTCTGATTTTGAAAGAATGATCATCTTTCACAGTTTATCCTGGAAAATTACTCCCATTTCACTGTTCTTGAATTAAATCTGGTCATTTTTCACACCATTTCTCTCAGAAATGGTCCATTTTCAGATTTTTTTGAGGCTTGGTCCTGGTGGGACTCATGCCAAGAAATGTATGGGACCAGACCAAATGGGACCAAATGTGAAATTCATGGTCCCGCCGGCCAGTCTAACAACACTCAGTTCAAGTATTCTGCAAAGCTTTTCTGTCTTCTCTAGTCTCTCTGTATCTGTCATTCTGGCCTTCTTAACATAGTCTGATCTGTGAGAGGATTCATTCACTGAGTTCTTAGTTTTCTTGATATGTTCTATCTTGAATCAGAACTCACTCAGTCTCTGAGCTCAGTGAATCTGCCATTATGAGAGTTTCTTGATTGAAGTAAACTATTATAAGCTGTTATAATCAGTTCTAATAGTAATCACTGTTGCAAGACTCTTGAAGTAGTAACATCAGTGATGAAAGAATTTCACTATTATAAGAAGCTTCTGATTATACCGCTCCACCACGAACTCGCTCGATTTTTCGAATAAGAACCCGCCGATAGATCCATCGAAAAGCCCTCGATCATACGAGCATTTTGACCCCATCGCCGACCGCATACCCCGTGTGGTGGTGGAGTTATCCAGCCAAACGTGAACCGGACGTTGTTCGAAGCTCCTGTGTGGGATTATCCCCCGTTCTCCCCTACCACACCACAACCCCGGGCCAGAGTGCCATACAAATTGTAAGGTGAAGTGACCTAGCCATATGCACCAATCTTCTCGATTTTGGAAGACCCCCGACCTGTAGTTGTGGAGATATCCGAGGAGCGACCTCCGCGAAAACCCTGTCCATCTTTGATGTTCCAAAACACCAACGCCAAGTCTCACCCTCGTACCGCCCTTCCCAATCTGGCCCATCCCCGGCAGAAAAATACAAAAAGATACCTCGGCGATAATATCAAGCACATAATCAACAGACTCTTCTGAAGTGCAACCTCCACGGTCCGCCGCCAGTGTATCTAGACTTCAACACCAAGTCTCACCCCTGTACTACCCCTCTCAATCTGGCCCATCCCCAGCAGAACGATACAAAAAGATACCTCGGCAACAGTATTCAATACATAATCAGTGGACAACGAGTCAACAGCACACCAACAACTATAAAATCAGTATACCCCAAGATCTGACTGAGCCTTTGATCCCTGCACAGTGAGATATATTAAATCTAGTTTTAATACCTCAATATTCAATAGATTCTGCAAGGGATTGAGAACAGCAACACTAGGTTTCTATTGAATTTGAGAATTAACTCTATATTGATATAATCATTGACAAAGTCTTCTATTTTGAGATATAAATAACCAGTTCCTCTACATCCTGCTGACAATATTTATATTATCATATAGAAACAGACTTATATTCTCTATAATATCAAGACTCTGAAGAGAGAAAGTCTTGATAGAAGGTATACAGTAGTGCATATCTTAGCAGTTTCTATCTCATTCTTCTACAGCAGTTAATGCAAAAAAAAAAAGATCTTAGAAATAGTTTTTTACTTCTCTTGAAAAAGTAAGGTGTTTTTCTCTGAGTTTTACACAATATTCTTACAAAGAATTAAAAACAGAGTTGTTTTCTGTCATAATTTCATATTCTTTTAAGTAAGAATTACTTTTTCAGTGGCTGAAGAGCTTTCATTAATACTTAATTCTTTTTTACACTCTTTATTAACTGATTTGAGTTGCACACTTGTTGTGTGAGGAGAATTGAATGATTTAGAATAAAATTGAATAGTTTTAATCAATTTCTCTGCAAAAAATTGATTTATTTTTTGTCAGTTT